AAAAATACATCAATTTAACAGTTTCCATATATACAATTCAATGACATCGATTACATACTTTGAGTTGTACAACCATTCTCACTCTTCTTTTCTGAGTTGTTCCATCCCAGTAACACAAACTCTTTGCCCTCTAAGGTTCCTGTCTAATCCTTCATGTTGCTATTGTGAGTTTGATCCCATACAGATTGATTAAAAGAGCTCAAAGCTCAAGGCAGACATTCATTACTAGTTAAGCTAAACTTTTGTTTGTTTTTAAGAAGTCTTCAGGGGATATTTTTGGTATAAGGGTAAGCCATTATTTTATTTTAGGGCAAGTGTTTGAGAGCTTCATATGTTTTGAGAGACTTATTTCCTATAGTTGACTCTATTACTCTTTGAATGGATCAAATTTCAAAGATTAAATATAAGGATTCTCCATCAAAAAACTTCTAAAATGAAGTGCAAGATAATTAAGCTTTTAAAGGATCATTTTATCTTTTATATAAACTGTAAGGGGCTCTAGTCATGTGATGGTTAAAGCATTCAACTGCTAACTGAAAGGTTTGAACCCACCAGCCGTTCCATGGGAGAAAGACAAGGCAGTCTGCTTCTGTAAAGATTTACAGCTTTGGAAACTCTATGGGACAGTTCTATTCTGTCCTATCAGATCACTAAGAATTCAAATCAACTCCATGGCAGTAGGTTTGGTTTTGGTTTGTATAAGTTGTGTGATTTAATAGGATATAATTTACAGAATCTGAATCATTTATAAAATTGCAAATGTATAATCCTTTTCAGAGATTTCTGGAAAGTAACAGGCCTTTTGTTATATATTTGACACTACCCATGATATGGTGCAATTTACGTTATTGTCTCATTTGATCCTCCCACGAACTCTATGAAGACAGGTTATATTGTTTTAATTATGCGTATGAAAATAATGGGACCCAAACCAAGTCATCTGGCCCCAAGACTTAACATTTTAAACAATAGCACTATTCTCCTTACCACCTCTGTTTTTCTCTACATGAGCAACCTATTTTCTGTTCCTTCATTCAAATGCAGTGTGCTTGCTGAGCTGGTGAAACACAAGCCCAAGGCAACAGATGAACAACTGAAAACAGTGACAGGAGATTTCACAGCTATGGTGGAGAAGTGCTGCAAGGCTGACGACAAGGAGGCCTGCTTTGGTGTGGAGGTACTGGAATTGTCTTTATTCTAATACATCTAATTTCCACTGTTGCAGCATTTGCTGAGGTTAGGGCCTATGATTCATATACCTAAAGGACATTCCTTACATACAGAGTAGGAATCTTTTTCTATATACAATTGCCTTACAAAATGACTTAGTTTTAATTTTTATATGCTGTGCCCTGTGGCATATTATTAAACATTTGTAAAATTTGTTCTGTTTCTAAAACTGTAATGATTATGAATATAGATAGAAATATTTGTAAGGTCTGAAGATCTGAATCTTTTGTTGGAAATAGCATTAAACAAAACTTCCATTTTTTTTTTAACCATTTTCTTGGGAAAGCTGCTTTGTCATTTGGTTGAATTTGAGAGCCTTATTTTAGAGGTTAGTAAACTAATGAGGAAGTTTATATTCAAACGTCTGAATCATTCCCTATTTTCTACTATGGCTTGACTATAATTTTTTGTTCCTTTGAGACAATGAGTGCCAGGGAGTTTCCTTCTAGGGTTCTAGTACTAAATTGGACTTAAAGGATGTGATGCATTTTGTTGTACCAATGGGTATGTCAATGTTAATTTTTATTCTAACAGTAATGCTAATATTTTCCACACATCTGTCATTTCTTTGTATTCAGGGTCCAAAACTTGTTGCTGCAAGTCAAGTTGCATTAGCTTAGAAACAATACAATCAAAAGCATCTCAGGTAACTATTCTTTGATATTTTTAAAATAGTGATAATAGTTATTTTAACATTATTGTTAAAATTGACAGTAAAAATTGACGACTTGCCAGCACCAATCACTGTTCTAAACTCTTTTTATATATCAACTTATTTAATTTTCAAAAGAGTTACGTGACTTGGGTACTCATTATGCCCATTGTAGATGGGGAAAGGACCTCTGATGACACAGTGGGTAAGGCACTTGTCTGCTAACCTGAATGTTAGCCATTCCAGTCCACCAGCTGCTCCCTGGGAAGAAGATGAGGCATTTTATTTCCCTAGATTTACTGTCTTGGGAACCCAGTGGGGGTCACTCTGAGTTAGAATTGACTCGATGGCACTGGGTTTGACTTTTTGGCTTGGTATGGGTTAAGTAACTTACCCAAATGTCACCCAGATAATGAAGGGTGGAACGAAAATTCAAACTGAACAAGTTTGACTACCGAGTGTGAGAACTCACCACTGTGGTGTTCTGACTTATATGACAAATTACACAGAGCAGTCCAAGTCCAAGTGATTGGTCAGCAATGGGATACTTTAGCTGTTCAACTGGAGCAAATGCAAGTGCATTTTTGTAGGTCAGAAATAGTCAATAATGATGATTTCCCATGTTTTAACCTAATAGCTCCATAAAAAACCAAAACCAAACTCACTGTTATCAAGTCCATTCCGACTCATGGTAGCCCCCATTGGGTTTTGGAGGTGGTAAATGTTTATGAAAGTAGATTGCCCCATCTTCTTTCTGAAGGGAGGCTGGTGGGTTTGAACTGCCAACCTTCTGGTTAGTAGTCAAGTGCCTTAGGCACTGCACCACCAGATCTCCTTTATAGTTCCCTAGCAAAGTCATTTTATGGATGACTATAATGGCTCTATCTCGTGTATACTTCCACATTAATAGTGAAAAATCTGCTACTAAATTTCCAATGTATCATCATGTTGAACTTTAACAAAATATTTCTTTTTAGGACAAAAGGGCCTGCTTTAAAATGTAGATGTTTGAACATAAATATGTTTTACCCAATTTGGTTGTAATATTTTTCAGGGAAGTTAAAAAATAGAACTAGCGTTCTTTTTGAAAAGAAGTAGTCAAACTATTTTTTTAGCATGAATTATTTTCACATTTTCCAAACTGACTCTGATGGCTATTCCACAACTAGGTTTAGCTTACTCTTTGTTCATATGATAATCATGTATGTTATGCATTCAGACCAGCAGGCAAATTTGTATCTTTGCAAATTTGCTCATTTCAAAATGTGATTCGTTTTAGCCCTGTTGTGTCAATTCGGACTCATAGTGATCCCACAGGACAGAGCAGAACTGCCCCATAGGATTTCCTAGGCTGTAATCTTTACAAGAGCAGATTGTCAGGTCTTTCCTCTCACAAAGTTGCTACGTGGGTTCAAACTGCCAACCTTTGGCTTAGCAGCCAAACACTTAACCAGTGTGCCACCAGGGCTCCCGTTTCAGTCCTAAATAGCAAGAATTTCTTCCTAGAGCTCTAACTTTGAGAAGATATCTTCCTGGTTGTAAATAACTACATAACAATTCTCACTGCCGTTGAGTCGGTTCCAACTCCTAGTTACCCCTTTTTGGGTTTCCAAGGTGGTATCGCTATGAAAGTAGATTGCGCAGCTTTCCTTCTGAGGAGTGGCTGGAGGGCTGGAACCACCAACCTTCTGGTTAGCAGTCAAATGCCCTCAGCAGTACACCACCAAAACATAACAATTAGATGTTGATTAGACGCTTCTAAGGAGTGATGAGGAAGAACCTGTGGATTTGAAGCAGAGCTTAGAACAAATTCAGCCTGGTTCACTATGGTCAGTGAAACAACATTAGAAGGTATCTGAATTTTTTAACATGTGGATGAACTGATTGCTAACCAGATGGCAAAAATTACAAGTTGGAGCCCTGCTAGAAACTTGATCTTCTTCTAGAAAACAAGGGCAGAATGTGTGTTGCATAGCAACCAAATCTCTTCACCAGCTATATCAAAAACAGTGGTGTCTGGCTCAAAGATGGCAGCCAACTACGCCTTTCTGAATGTTTATTGCTTCCCACAGTCCTGGCAAAGCTCCTGAAAGAGATCATTATGCCTCTTCCTAGCCTCCCATTCCAGACCTTTGACCCATACTTTTTCCCATTCTGTTTAGTATTCCGGATCACTCAATTTTGAAAAATTTGTGTCTGTTCCAGTTTCACTTCATCAGCCAAGAATGAACTGGTTTGAGCACATTGAAGCTCTCTTTTGAGGTCTGAGGAGTTTCATGACTTCAGTGATGAAGGGGGGACCTCATAATGTGTGGCTTTTTCCCTGGCCTAAAAGGAAGAGTAGTCAGGTGCCATACATCTGGGATGGGCTTGAATTATTTTCATTAGTTGGAATTTTAGAAAGATAACCTAAGCAATTTTGGTACTTTGAGTAGATTTTGGGAAAAAAATCCATTGTACAAACAGCACTTATGTTTGTCCTTTTGTTTTTTCAGCCTACCCTGAGTAAAAGAGCAAGAGAAACGAAGATCTAGAGTTTACTTTACTGTTTTTCTTTTCTGTTGGTGTCAGATCAACACTCTGTCTAAGAAATGCAAATTTTTTAAAACATTGTGCCTCTTCTCTCTGTGCTGCAATTAATAAAAATGAAAACAATGTGACGTTATGGTCCAGGACTGTTATTTTCTAAAGGTGTCTTACTGACCTATGAGACAGCATTTTGTGAGTTCTGTAAAAGTCCCAGTATTCTCATGCTTCACTTCAACAGAGGATTTCTAGTTCCTCATAAAAGAAATGTTTATATTCTTCTGATTTACATCATATAAACATTCATAGTAATATTTTAACATTATCATAATTCTGAATAAAAGAATAAAAGCAATATAGACAAGGCATATAAAACATTACTTTTCCTTACTTTCTTACTGCTAAAGATTCCATAGGAAAAATTGAGGGGCAAATAAAGTTGATTGTACATTAGTTACTTAAATTATATAAAAAAGAAATCCCAGAAGAAAGTTAAGATAGTTTAGGATGACAATTCATGAAGAGTGTTTGGAGGAGCTTTATTGGATGAGGGGATCAGGAGATACAGAGGAAGGTAGAGTAAGAAGTGATTAAGGTGTGTTGAATTGATGAAGTGTAAGAAGGAGAGGGTGACATTTCCTCGTAAAAGTTAGGAGGTTATACCAATACTGGGACTCCTTTCTCTGTTTCAGGAGATAATCACTGATATCAATTTGGTGCATGTGCTGCCAAACTTTTGTATATGAGTTTACATATTTCTAAATCATTTACAGCTTTATTGTTTTATTTTCATAGAACTGGATTTTATACTATCCCACAACTTTCTTAGCTTGCCCTTACTGCTTTATAGTTTCACTTTAAGTATGATGTTTGCAAAACGTTCTGGTATCAAGTTTAAAAAGCTCCATACCCTCTATCACCAACCCCAATTTTGGCCTGGTGTTGAAGGTATAAAATACTTTTCCATTTGTGTGATGATGAGAACAAGTGTCTGAGAGAGCCCTGAAGGGGAGAAATGAAGATTGTGGGTCCTGGTTGATCTAAGGCACCAGAGAAACTTAGACAATTTTTAAATTTTTTTTAATTGTAATTTGGGTGAAAGTTTACAGAGAAAATTCATTTTCCACACAGCAGTTCCCATATACTTTGTCTCATGATATTGACTGCAGTTTCTCACAATGCAACAGCTCACTTCCCACTTCCTTCCCTTAGTTATCTCTTCTCTATGTCCTTTCCTCTCATGCACTCCTGCCTCCTGAGCTGTCTCCCTGTGCATACACAACCATTCTATTCTCCATGATTGATCTCTTCAAGGAGTGTATCTACCTAATGTAAATGTTCAGCTCATATGTCTGCCTTTTGTTTGGCTGGAAGCCACAGGAGTGGGTTCAGTTCCAGACCTAAGGGGCAGCTAGGGGCCATAGTCTCAGGTGTTCCACCAGGCTTTATCAGACCAGCAAACCTGCTCCCCCCTTTTTTAATGATACTGAGTTTTATTACACATTGTTCTCCCACTCTATCCAGGATTTCTTACACAGATCTCCCTCCAAATGGTTGACAGTGGTAGCCAGCCATCATCTAGTTCTTCTGGTCTCATAGTCATCTAGGCTGAGGATCGCATGGTGTACCAGTCACTTGGACTAATTGTTTCCATGTGTCTTTGGTTTTCTTTATTCTTCTTTGCTCTGGATGAGGAGAGACCCATCATTGCATCTAGATGGCCACCTGCAAGCTTTTAAAATCCCAGCCACTACTTGCCAAAGTAGGATGTGGAACAATGTTTTTGTGTAGTATGTTATGCCAATTGAGCTTGATGTCCCCTGTGACCATAGTCATGAGCCTACAGGTCCAACTACTTGGTTCCTTTGGGTAGCTGGCTGTGGCCAAGAAGTGACTAACAATCTTGCCCCTTGTCAGCTCTACTATATACCTGGAAATTCTTACAGAACATACAAATACACTTGTGGAAACATTGTCTGCCAACCTTATACATGGTCATGGGCACACTCCCACCTTCGTAGACATACCTAATAGTTAAGCCTGTCCACCCATATATCCACCCTTATACCCATGCTTGCCTTCACTGACAACACAGTACTGTATGTGCAAAAGGTTCATCTTTGTTGTCTGTCTCCCATACACTTCTCTATGTCTTCCTCTTTCTCAATGCCACAGTGTTGATCACTCACATTTGATACATTGCCCTTTCCTTCATCCAAATCAATACCTGCCTCTACCTATCTAGCAGTGTTCCTTCTCCTTCCCTCTCACCCCTGGTAACCAACAAAGAAACTTCCTTCCTTGACATTTTACAATAATGGACTAATACAACATATGTCTTTCTGTGATTGACTTATTTCACTCAGCATAATGTCTTCCAAGTTCATCCATGTTATGCAATGTTTTGTGGATTTGACGTTACTCTTTAGGGTTGCATAGTAT